TTTCTTACAGGCCTGGATGCTCTAGGCAGCCATTTGTGCTTTTTGCTTATTATTCCTTTGTTATTCTCAGAGAGTTAGCTGTTTGTTCAAGATGGTACAGTGTAGGAATGCACCTGGTATGGGAGTGCAGGAGAACTTGGGAAGATCACATAGCTATCTTTGCTGAATGTTTCCCACCTGATAATGCTAATTATTTGGCCTGGGAAAATATGCAAAGTACCAACAAGCTAATTATTGGATGTGGAAAAATATGCAATGTATCACCGGTGAGGTGAGGGGGGAATGGAAAAGAAAATCCTTCCTTCCCCTCACTTGTGCCTGGCAGGAATGAAAAGGGAAATCTCTCTTGCCCTGGCGGAGCTAATGCACGGCGAGCAAAAGGAGCCAGGGCCTGAACTCGCGGCCTCGGCATTATTAGCACCACACGGTAAGCAACTGAGCTAACTGGCCAGTGAGAGCAAACGTGTTTCCCACGTTTTAATTCCGGCAAGCTCAACGCTTCCCACTTCCCTGCACCAGGACAGAGAGAAAGCGGCTCTGCTCTTCGCAGGGCAGTTTCTGCAGCATTTTCAAACCTGTGGCAGCCCGTGCCCGGAGGGAGCCATTAGCACGTGCAGGGCAGTTGGAGTCTGAGGTGCAGGCCAGGGAGGCACCTGGCACGCTGCTCCAGGATGCGACATGCGGGGCAGATAATCAAAAGGGGCCAGCGAGGGAACCCTCCCGGGCACTAGAGCTGGCGCATGGGTGGGGCGGAGTTAGTGGGGCTCGAGCTGCCATAGGGGGCAATAGGGACAGTAGTGCGGGTAGGTCACTCTGCCAGCTCCACTAACCTCAGCATGAGACCCACAACTACTCATGCTCGCACTGCACGTATCCCCCACCCGGTCACTGCCGTGGGCCTTGCCCACAGTACTCCGCATGACATCCGACACACATCGGCGTTCCCTTATTGCACAGGCGCCAACGTGCACCTGGGGGGGGGAGGGCGGAGAAGAGTGCCCAAAGCTCCACTAGTCCCCTTGCCGGTGGTAGATACACCCTTTGAAAGGGTAGCACTGGACCTGGTTGGACTTCTGGAGGGTGGGGATACCCCAAGACATCCTAACAGACCAAGGGACAAACGTGTCCAGCTGAGTAATGGCCGAGTTGTGCAAGTTGTTGGGGGTGAAAAAGCTCTGGACTACAGTCTACCACCCCCAAACAGACGGGCTGGTGGAGCGTTTTAATCGTACTTTGAAATGGATGCTGAGAAAATTTGGAGGGCTGGACCCCAGAGACTGGGACCTGTTCCTGTCAGCCCTCTTGTTCACTATACGGGAGGTCCCCCAGGCCTCTACCGGGTTTTCGCCCTTTGAGCTATTATATGGCCGACAACCATGGGGTATCCTTGACCTCTTGAAGGAAAACTGGGAAGAACAGGTGGCAAGGCGGGGAGCACTTCTCTCCTTCCCACAGCTACTGGGGCTCAGGATGGTGGAGTAGCCCTCAGGAGACGCTCGCCTTGTCCACATAGGTAGTGGCACCTTCACGAGTGCAGCTGCACCTGTCAGTGTAGATAACTGGTCAGAGAGGTGGACTAAGAGTAGGAAAGCAGA